ATTTCAGCTACTAAAATGCTAATAGTTTTGCTTAACAATAACAACGCTCTATATAAGCTATAACTGTAAAATGATATGCAATTTATGTTAAAAACACAAGTAAATGGCAAGTACTGCACCCTCTAGTGGAGAGAAAAGTATCTTACTTTCTCCATCTAATATTCTCTTTTGTCCTCATCAAGGGGTCAGAGTTTGTACTATACTACTACTATTTTGTAGTTTTTATTATACTACGGTCTTATCTTTTTCCCTGTATGCTGCCTTGTCATGGTCAGAAGTAAAGGACATGGGACCTCTTGTTCCTGTGGCGCCATCAGCATTGCCATGACAATTTCCCTTCGGCTCTGAAGTGGTTAGTCTCATGACATTTACGGCTCGGGTAACTGGCTCAAAAGCATGCAAGGTGCCCCACTTTGTGCCTGGCAGTCTGATCAGCTTAGTTTAGGGGTTGAGGCCTCATTAGCCTGTCAGGCTCAAATCGAGGCACCTTCCTGAATGTAGAAGAAAGAGTGCTTCTCAAAACTCTATCTGACGCTTGTTTCCTTGCTCCTCTGTCTTTCGGCCTCTGACCTGGAAATTGATTGAAGTTTGCCACCTTGAAGGACGTATCAATTCTCTGAACACACCGAGGAGTCGAGGACTGCCGAGAGTGGAAGCTTCCAAAAGAACTAAGAGTATCACACTTAGACCTTCCACTCACCCTTCATGTTCCCAAAATCACTCTCCTCTAATTGCAACCAAGGCTTATTGGAAAAACGTGCGTCTACCTACTATACACTCTTGCAAAACTCCAAAAACATACCTATACACACAATTCACTGCACTTTCCAGCTGAAATGAACACTGGTGGCAGTAAAACACCAACAACTTTTATTCCATTTCACACCAATTTATGATCCTTGTACAATACTATGCTATAATCTCAAAACACTTTTACCATGGTGCATGATTGTAACCATTTTGACATTTGCATCTCATAATCAGCTCCATATATATATATAGCTTTTCTAATGTGGTAAACTTTCTCGGTAGCGCACCTGGCACAGCATTACACTTGCAATTTGGAGCACTTGGGTACAAGTCCTGTGAAACACGAGTCACGATAAAAGAACACAAAGGACTTCGAAACAAGCATGGTTGCGTCAGCCAACGTTTTTATCTCATGTTTGCTATTGATTATGTTTAGTGTAGGGTTGAGTGTATGTGGTGCATTACTTTCAAACGCGATAAAAGCAATAAAGAAAAATATCACAGAACATACAAGAGGCAGCATAATATCAGTTTGCACACAGGCATGTTTGCAGTGATCCTGGGTTGTCTAATTGTGAAACCAGTAAAACTAGTCTAATTAGCACGAAACTGTCTTCATACACAAACATGCATATTAAGACAAACACATCACATGCTAAACTGTCAAGAGAATATTTAAGAGAAAGATGGGATAAAGTGTAAGTTTATCTCTTAATCAACACATAATGTACACAAGTATATTCAGGATACACACCCATCTAATGTGACAGAGTGCTGAAAACATCAGGACAACACCTGATACCTGCCGACTAACCGGCGTGTAGTTTTACACTCCCTCAACTCCCCCCGCAGTCATCCATTAGACTATGTAAATTTACTGCAAATTGAAATTTGTATTCAAAGCTCTTTTCACAGGATAACAATATTGAGTTAATAAAGCGTATCAACCTGATAGCACCAAATGCACATGCAAGAACATTTTGCAGAATAAGGGTTATCATTTAGACACAACTATAAATGAGGTCATGGGAAAAAACCGAGACAAACCACTTCGGGACAGTGTAACATGAGAACAGAAGTGAGACGCCACGCATGTGCTTCGTGACTAACTCGCTGAATATCCTTTGGTGTTGCAAGTGGCAGAATCTTTTTCTTATTATTATACATTAAAATTGAGAGAGAATCATCAGACAAGAAATAAGCAAACAAAATATGTAATGTTTATTGACCATTAGTATATCTGTTTGTCTTTTTATTTACATAACACAGACACACATTAAATCATTATGAAAAAAAAA